TCCGGGTGAGTTTGATAGGGCTGTGCCAGACTTGCAGCAATTTGTTATAAAAGGGTATCGACGCAGTTTCGGCCGGCGATGTTTAAACAAAGCGAATGGTTCTACCTTTTATGAAGAACATTTCCGGGATGGCAGCACGATCACGCAGTGGCTTACAAACCGACAGCCACTCTGAGCAGAACCCTGTCAAAATCCAAAGGTAAACCTGGAGTGCACGATGAAATGTTGGGTAAAAGATATGGTGTCGAGATTGTGATAAGAACCATGTGACTCAGACAGGGCGGACACAAAAGCATAAAGGGCCTGTAAGAACCACTACGTACACTCACTGGTTTCATCCCATAAGAAGGAGGAAGGGCATTGCTTCAATTGAAAGAAAATATAAGTTTTAGCACGAGAATTCCTAGGAACATGGTACTCTACGAAGTGCTCGATAAACATGCGTATCGAAATCGAGCCGGTTTACCACACGCTCAGATAGGGGGAGAAACTCAAATGGTTTGAAAACCGTCGCTGGCAACCAAACAAACCATCAACAGAACAACCGGAGCGAACCTACCTCACGGATCGCTCAAGTCTATTAGAGATCTCAGGAAAACAGGTAGTCACCGGGCACAAAACGAAAACGTCAGTTCAATGGATTAGTAGATGGATGGATCAGTGAGGATGCACTCAGCATAATAACACACTGAGGAAGTCACTTCGTTTGGCGTTGTAATGTCTGTAATCCAATCGCCAATCTCGACAAGCACGTGAAAACCAAAACGATTAATCCGAGCCACTAGTGTTTAAGTCACATAATATGCTATTCAAAATCTCAGTCAGCTGCACTAACAGTGAGACGTCAGCTTCATGGCTAAAAGGAAAGTGAACAGAACTGGGGGTAGAACAGCACAGCCGTGTGAATCAAGGTAAGGGTCCGCATGTATTGAAAACATCAACAGAAAATCGAACTTTGGTCATCGGTGCAGATGGGATAACCGGGACAGCAATGTTCCCCTCCGTCAGATAGTCTAGAAATACAACCGCCGATATCGAATTGAGATACCTGTCAGGTTGGCTGGCTTGTAGAACAACTTCCTCGTGATGCCAGCCGGGTGGTTCGGGATTATCCTCTTCCAGCAAATGGTTCGGCGGTAGTGTTCCAGGACGTGGTGGGTTTTCGCCTGGCAAACGTTCTCCCTACAAAAATCCACATATGTTCCGCTGAACACTGTGACGTGGCGTATGTGACTCATCACTAAATAAAGTCACTGCCCCTTGCCTCTGAGTAGCATTGTAATGCAAGGGTGTGTTGGAGCTATGGTCCTTCACGGACCGAAAGGCGTATGAACCATTTGTTTGGTCACCGGCACCCAACAGGTTGCGATACACTTATATCGCCCAGCTGCCTTGTAGGTTAGATCTGGGATCAAAGGCTCGGAGTGGGTTAACCTTGGACGACCCACTACTTCGGCCTAGGCAACCGGGTAGTATCACGCCCATTGACGAACCATGGATGGATTATGCTACGGCTTTCATTGCTATGTTTACTGGCTATCCTGTTTCTGCTGCTCAACACCCGCTCACAGATCGTCCCACGTCTCGTTCCTTAACTACATTTGTGTCTTCCCCGATCATCTTCAACAACAGCTTACTGGTTGCATCTGACAGACTTCTGAGGCAGTTGTGTTCGTTGCCCGGTGGTCAGAACATCCTCACACTCCACCGAAGCCCAAGCTTTCCGTTGACCTGTTTCTCCATTCGGCCTTGCCGCGTACAATGTGCGCACTCTAATGCAGATCGGACGACAAGCATGCCTGGCCCGCAACCTTGAGACACTCGGTGGACATCTGTTGCCTTTCCGAAAGCATGTTGCAAGACGCCAGTACCGTCATCTTAACGACCTCTCCGGCAAACCCTGACGTCAAATAGCATTTGTGACTTTCCGGAGACCCAGAGACTGCCGCTTCTGAGCAAGCTGGTGTTGGGATGCACTGAGTGACAGGTTTGAGGTCGCTTCGCTTAACTGGGTCCCAGTCACAACAGTCGGCTATGTGCAGTCAGACTAAGAGGTTCATGTAAGTAAGCGCCGAGATGTTACGCGTGCCTTGTCATCTCCGCCTACGCTCCCGTAGACTGCAGCCCGGATGTAGTCAAGGGTTGCTTTTACCAACAGCTACATGACCTGCGTTCCTCAAAAAAGTCTAATATTGTCACTCTTGCCGGAGTTTTAACGCATAAGTGGGCCGCCTGCCACCAAGCGAGCAGCATCTTGGGGGTAGTTTTGGCCTCGGTAGCAGTCGATCAGACAATGGAGACAGGCTACTGACTCTTTGTTCTGATCAACACTTGTTTCTTTCGAGCACCAGTTTTCGGCATTCGAAAAGGCAGACTGCTACATGACGTCCGTCGTCTCAAACACAAGAGTGGTCCCAGCTTGACCAAGTAATAATAAGCTACAAATGGTGCGGAAGTATAACAGACTGTCGATCGTTCTGATAAATTTTTCTGGACTCCGATCACGCATTGGTTCGTGGTAAGGCTTGCATGGGTTTCGGAGAAAGGCTCAGGTGTATGCATTACCGGCCGAACGTCGAAAATCTACAGGACCTTGCGATGCTGTCCAATTTCCAGGCTCCTTTATCGACACGGTTTGCTTCAGATTCTAACAAAGATCTGAATTTACAATGGGTGCGCATCAAGGATGCCTTAGTTACTGACGGCACTGATATTTGTGAAGGTACCCGTCACCCGTCGAAAAGCTGGATCATAGTTGTCTCCTTGTCGCTGATGGACAGACGCCGATCGGTCCCGACCGATGCCAGCTGTAGTGAAGAACGTCGATCCCTGGATCGAGAACTGAGCAGAAGTTTGTAAAAGGACCGTGAAGCTTGGTGGTGTGAACGTGCAAGAGAGATATAAATTGCTAGTTTCTGGTAATAGCAGAAAACTGTTCCACCTCATCCGTGCCACCGAAGGCGTCCGATCTGGAGTAAGCGAAACAATCTGCGAAGGGGATGGCTCCCTAATCATTAATCTTCAACGACGGTTGGAGCGATGGGTCGAACGTTTTCGCTCACAGTTTTCCTGGCCGCCAGCTCCATCTCTTTCCCCTGGGGCGCGCACTGGTGATGAGTGGACTATCCCAACTGATCCTCGCTCTCACCAGGATATCTGCTGCCTAAGGCTCTCAGCCCTGATGGTCTACCGTCTGCTCTAGTTAAAGATGGTGGCTTTTCGCTGGTTCGAGAACTCACCTCTTTGTTCTCAGAAGTCTGGGTAAGAGGTTCCATCATCCTGGTGTGAGTCAATGGTTGTCCCTATGTTCAAAAAGGGCCTCCGCAAAAAGTGCACCAATTACAGGGGCATAAGTTTGGTTCCCATCGTCTGCAAGATTCTGGTGTCCAGCATTCTTCGAGGGCCATCCCCAACGCGTAAATTACAACAGCGGGAAGAACAGGCTGGGTTCCGTCCTGGTCGCGGCTGATCTTCACACTCCACCAGATTCTCGAGCTCAACCATGTGTATAAAAAGCCAAAAATTGTTGCGTTCATGGATATCTGTGCTGCCTTCGATTCTGTCGACAGGGCCGCATTGTGGCAATGTCTGTGGAGGAATGGCACTCCCGGGAAGTTCGTTTCTATATTGCGTACTCTGTATCGTCTGACCACGGGTAGAGTTAGGACTTATGGCAAGCTTTCGCTTTCCTTTGTTGTCACCAGTAGGGTGCGATAAGGATGTCCTATCTCTTCATTCCTCTTCAATTTTGCCATTGAGCATGTCCACAAAAATGCTCTAGGCTGGTTGAACGCTGGCGTTGGATCATGCTGATGATATCGTCTTGTTGGGTGACGGTCCGCACGCCGTCCAACTTACACTTAACCGCCTGGTGATTGAAGCGCCGAAGTATGACATGCACTTTTCACTATCCAAGTGCAAAGCGCTTTTTCAAGACTGGGATACGCCCCTAGTTGCACTCACCATCGATGGTGAGACGCTGGAAGTTGTGTAGAATTTTCTCTACCTGGGAAGCTGCATCACTGCTAGTGGGGCTGTTGAAAATGAGATTTCGAGGCGCATCTCAAAAGCTCGTCTCGTCTTCTCCAGGCTGAGGCATTTATGGCGTCGCCATGAGATCCGTCTTTCCATCAAAGGGCGGGTTTATATTGCGGCCATCCATGCTGTACTGTTATACAGGTGCGAGGCTTAGCCTGCATGTACCGATAACCTGTGCTGACTATCTGTTTTCGACAACCGTCGCTTGCGGTCCATCGCCTGTGTATGGTGGCTGCACCAGGTAAACAACGTTGAAGCCAGACAGCGCGTCTTAGGTGGAGGCAACCACTCTCTGGATGCACTTGCCTCGCCGCGCCAACTACAATGACTTGGACACGTACTGCGTATGCCCGTTCAGCGTGTTCCGCGTAGTGCCCTGTTCGCGGTCGCTGGACAGGGCTGGATGAGGTGGGGTGGTGGAAAGCCTACAACATGGAGAAACAGGATGAAGAAGCTGACAAAACAGCTGGCCTCGGCTGCTTCTTCTCGACTAGCCGGATGGGATCCCAAAGATGCTGAGTGCCGCTGGTTGGAAACCTTGGAGGTCCTGGCTCAACACCGAACTCAGTAGCGGTCGCGTATCTCTGCATGTTGCGGTGGTCCCCCTTCCCTCCCCAAATAAAAAAGATCCAAAAAACTCAAAAACGGTGTGTAGGAAAACGGACAAAGATTGCTTGTTTTTTGTTTTACTCTAATCCTGTTTCTCTATTCCGCAATGGTACTGATGACAAAATATCTGTACATATATATATATATATATATATATATATATATATATATATATATATATAAGTAACGTAATTCGAAGGTCTACCAACCGGCCACTTCGATAAGAGTTGCTTGTCGATAAGGTGCCTGGTTGGGGGAGAAGCAAAGACAACTCGATGTTCACGGTAAAGAGGTGAGAGGAAACCAGCCGAAAGTTTCCAATGCATCGGTGTGTGTTGTCATTGTGAATGGTGCCCACAAGGTCGCTCGCATTAGTGGTTACAAATGTTCTCCGATAGGATATAGCAAGCGGCCCAATTGCAGTCGATTCATTGCGAATCTAGCTAACTAACGAATCCGAGTTGTTTTTCTGTCCTTTTCTTGTGTAACCGTCGTTGTTGCTCAATTTTGTCATTGTGTTAAGGTGAAAGAAGACAATCAGATCCGCCGACCAACTCAAGAGAACTGCTGAATGTTTGAACCTGGGATGCATAACGAAGGAATGTGGCTCCCTCATAGTGGACATAATCAGTGAAGAGCCAAGTTAGCAACCGCATGATAAATAGCCGGCATGTTGGTCAGTGCCCATACAGTTCAAGAGGCGGACTAGACAAATCATGCGAATGATGAATGTGGTATGGAAACGATGCGACCACAAGATGATCTCTATGTCAGGCACTACGAACCACATAAGGTAAAAATGTAGCCGCTTTGATAATCAGAATGTAGCAACTGAGAATGTGCCATATAGAAGTTTAGCGAATTGTTACCAAGCAACAACCATGAACAAGCGAATGAAGTGGTTGAGGATCTTCGTGGCACAACGATCTATCATTGGGAATACACTTGGTTCAAAATATGGATGAGGATATTGTTAGCAAATGTTCTGCTAACAGACCAGAAAACATTGAGTGAAACTTCAAGGAAAGTGAATCGCTTCTACCTCAGCCTTCTATTATTGCCGGTTCCATGCTTCGATTGACCGAGTGGGTGGATGGTGAGTTGACCAATTGATCGCCTTCTTTGCTCTGCTAACCTGACGTAGGTTGTTGACGTAGTAAGTAGCGCTTCGTACACAATTCTCAGATCGAGGTGTTTATTGAGTGTATTATGTCTCGAATACAAAAATCTTGGCAACTGCGTGCTAACCGGGGTTTCGCAATCCGTATTACGCTGACATCCTTAAGATGGGATTGATGGTTACCAACCTTCGTAGGAACTGGAAATAGTGATTCCGGATGTCAGTGAACAGTTAGGCAGTGTTCGAGTAGAACTACATCAGACTCTGTCCCAGTCTAGCGCACGTCCTTTAACGACAAGGTTCAAAAATGGCAACTAATCATTGTTTTCCCAATAGCTTGTGAATCGAATGAGTGCAAGCATTTTGGTTAGTTGGGATTTCTTGAAATTTGGAACCAATGAGAAGCACAAAGGTGGCACCCGTGCAAAAAAATTCGAAGTTTTGACTTTACGGTTATAAGTACTATCTGTTTAAAAGACCACAGAATAACCTCGGTTACTAGTTCAGAGATCGTCGATCCCATTAGCACGCTCCTTAGCTGCATGTATGCATGGCCGCTGTCATTGAAATGGGTTGTAAAACCATGTGTAAGACAATGCTCATAATGCTGGCGTTGTTATAGTAAAAAGAACAAGGGACTGGTGGTAAACAATTGTTTTCGAAGATTTGGTCCACCGAGTTGGCAACGATTGACGAGTACAACGCTGCTAAAGCGAAGAAGAGCATGTTCCTTATTCCCTATTATCAATCCCTCGATTATCGTAAAGCAGTTTATGCCAATTGCATTGAGTGTTCGAAGTGCGAGACCATGTACGTCAACAATGGAATAGAGGCACCCAATTTTGCGCATTTGGTGAGGTCGTAGAATCGCAGTAGTACTAGGTTCTCTGAGATCGTCTTGTTACATCCAAATTCTGTGATGTAGATCCATGTAAAATGCAAAAAAGCTTGATTTTCAAGGGTTTCGTTTATCAATTTGCAGTTTTTCGTATCTCAGAGTAGTTCTTGTGTTTCCCGCATGTAGTCGACTTTGTTCAATACAATAATGTGGTGTTCCTTGTAGGCTAGCGATAAAGCAAACTCTTTGAATTTCCTTAGGTTTATCAAAACCTTTCGTTCATTCACACTGCATAGAATGGTCTCAACTGAAGGGGTCTGTGTCCGAGTTCCTGTTGAGCCTCGAGCAGGATATCATATGGCTTCAGTCGATGAAGTTGGAATCTTTGGAACTGTCATAGACAATGACTGCTGTCTGTATTGGGTAAAGTTCTCTCGTGCTATTATTTCCCTTCAGAAATTTTAAGAGAGCAAGAACGAACAACAATTTTACGGGACAAGCTGAATTCAGATTATTTCACGTCTTCTCATTTAGCCGCTTACAGACAAATCGTGAAAATAGTAAACCAATACAATTGAAAAGGAGGTCAATAAGGAAACCAATAAAACACTGAGAAAATCAAGGCTCATGGTTTATGTCATACCAGAGCGAGGCAAGACTGGCCACAAGGTCGACCAGTTTGCAAAGGTTAAGTTTCATTCGCCGGATGGCAGAAACTTCAGTGAAACGAAGCAAGCTCGCGTTGTTCTGTCTGCCGATAACCTTGAATGCGTCACGTGGGTTTTCGCACAAGGTACAATCGAGCAGATGCTGAGCGATTGAATTGGCAGGGAGTTTAGGGCCACCATTTGCCAGGTTCCGTGGTACATGTTCCATGATCCTAGTTGATAGCCTTCTCTCGGTTCGTACATGCTACCGCAAGTACAGGTTAATTGGTAAACACATGAGGCGGTAACCTGAGAGCGAGGCTTATCCAAGTTGGATTCATGGAACAACTTCTTGGTTTGATGTAACAACACGAACTCAGTTGCGTTGTAGCACCTTTTTATGGCTTGGCGTAATCGGTAGCACAATTTTCTGCCGTTCTGCTCCCCTTTGTATGGTAAGGTAATGAAGACCTTCTTCCTTGGGACATCCATTCGTTTTTCTTTCTTAGCAAGTTGATTCCCATACCTGGCAATACATTTGTTCGGATAGCCGTTATTGCATAGGTTAGACTCGATGCATCGTAACCTAGCCTCGATCGACTCTTCAGAGCATATTCGGTGTGCTCCAACAAAACAAGTTCGAACTAAGGATCATTTATAGTTCATTGGACAGGAACTGTTGTAATGTAGGTATTGTCCGGTCCAGGTCGGTTTCCGGTAAATCTTATGAGTGAACTATCTGCTCTACTTTTAAGTGCAACGTCAAGAAAATGAAACGAATCCTGATTCACTTTCCACAGTAAACGTGATATTAGGATGGTATTTGTTTAACACTTACAAAAGGACTTCCGCTTGCTGGAAGGTGTCAGCTACAACAAAAGTATCGTCGATATACCTCGTGTAAAAGTGTGCCGCTCCAATGACACCGTGTAATAAGTTGCTCTCCAGATGACCCATAAATATGTCAGCTATAATCGGTCCGATAGTGCTACCTATCGCAACGCCTTCAATTTGACGATACATATCCCCATCAAAGCAACAGTGGACCTCTTTCGTACAAATGCTAAGTAAGGTCTTCAATCGATGTGCAAGCAGGCCAACTTTGTCCGATACATACTTATGATGTTCAAGGTCTCATCCAAAGGAACGTTCGTGAAAAGGGAACGGACATCAAATGATACCATGTGCTTATCTTGAACATTCAAGATTCGAACTTTGTCAACGAACTCGAAAGTGTCTTAGACTGTGCACCGCTACCTCAGAACGTACAGGCTCGAGTCGCTTTGCCAACCATCGTGCTAGTTTCTGGTGGGGCACCGCAACCATTGAAAAATAGGATGTAGTGGCAATCCATACATACGAGGAAGTCGTGAGCCTCGGGGGCGGAGTTCTGCCATCGTTTTTGCGTCGATTAGTCCCTCTTTGTGTAGTGTTCGTAGCTCACGCACTATCAACTTTGCTACTTGTTCCGTTCTGTCTTTCCCTGTCAGATCTCTAACGAATCTACCCTCATTCGTCAGCACCGTCTGCATCTTTTGAATATACTCATTTTTACTCATGAGGACAACACCAGAACGCTTGTCAAGTCTCAGTAATATAACATTCTCATTTCGGGGTAGCAGTTACAATGAATCAAAATGTTCCTTCGTGATAAGATTTGATTTTTCAGCTTCTGTGATGCAAAATTGGTTAACCAAGTCCACTGCCTTGGCTTTAAACCAGCTACTCGCGTCTGCGGTTGACGGAGTTAGGCCAGAAAGCTGCTCTTGCAGGTGTTCAAACTGTGCTTCAACCTCTATGCGGTCACATTTACCAGGCAGAACAGAGAAATTGAAATCTAGCAATAGCGCTTCAATTTGGAGGCGACTAAGTGATACGTTGGGCAAGTTCATCACACGGTTAACTGGAAATTGGTCAAACAAACGCTCAGCAGACAGAGTCCCAAATTTGCTGCCTTGTTGACAAGCTCGCTTTGATTTGAAGCACTCACAGGAAATTAAAAAAGTTCGTGCGACAAACAAGATTGAGATTGATCAAGTGAGGTTCAACGCATCCAAAACTGGGTTTCAGCAGTGTAATACAGAAGTCTAAATCTGAAGCTTCGTGTATCATCGCAAATTCCGAGAGTTAACATGTAGATGGTCATTCCTCAGTGCTTTGCAAAACCGAGGAGGATACATGGCCCTAAACTCCCTGCCAACTCAATCGCACAGCATCTGCTCGATTGTACCTTGTGCGAAAACTCACTTGACGCATTCAAGGTTATCAGCAGACAGAACAACACAAGCTTGCTTCGTTTCACTGAAGTTTCTGCCATCCGGCGAATGAAATCTAACCTTTGCAATCAGGTCGACCTTGTGGTCAGTTTTGTCGCGCTCTGGTAAGACATGGGCGATGAGCCCTGATTTTCTCAGTGTTTTATTGGTTTCCTTATTGACCTCCTTTTCAATTGTATTGGTTTACTATTTTCACGATTTGTCTGTAGGCGGTTGAATGAGAAGACACGAAATAATCTGAATGCAGGTTATCCCGTTCTTGTTCTCTTAAATGTTCTCTCAGATGATTTTGCACTCTATGCACTGCGTTCATCGGTTGACTCGCGTTGCGAGATTCTACGCAAGTTCTTTCTTACCATCCGTTTGGTGTGGAGCTATGTGCATACCAAAATCCATAGCCAAATGTGCTCCAAATTTGAAGTAACATATTCCTGTCGGTTGGTGGATTATTATTTGATAGTTGCACCTTCGGTTGCACAAATAGGCAATCAGCTTATGCACCATTCTCCATCCATGTTGTCTGGATATCTTTAAAAAGGAAGGTTCCTTGATTGGAGGACGACAATGCAAATTTGATGGCGGGTCTTGTTATTTCAAGTGCCACAGTCGTTCGTGAGTGGAGTTCTGATTGAGAAAAGTCGCCGACCAGTGAGCAAACTTGAGCACACTGTATTGGAAGGCTACTGATAATGTTACGGAA